GCAGGTGCCGTTCTAAAAAATTTTGTGACTCGAAGGTTACTTCAGACCACTCATCCTCAGCACTTATTTATCTGTGGCCAGAAGCTTCGTATCCCATGCACTCCATGGACGCACGGTGCTAGTTCACACCAAGATCTAAGGTGTTTCGATCTGCGTCTTTTCCGGTTAAAAATTCGATCTTTCCCAAACTGATATGACATTCAGTAAGTATCTGCGAATATCGCTCACTTCCATTTTTGATACACCTCCCAGACAACTGAGTCGGTCGTCTTTTAATTTGATGAAATAGGGGCTGTCGGGATGGGCGAGGTAAAGGGTCGGCTCGAACACCGGAGGTACGGGATTTGAATTCCAAAGCAGAAAACAATTCTGCTAAACCATAATTCCTCAGATCAACTAAGTCAACGATCATTGCTTGGGTGCCTTCAGCTGTATACGAGTAGCAAGACGCTAACTTGCACATAACCGGGATAGCATGAAGTTCTGTTGTGGTCGTACAAGAAAGGCCAGTGGTACGGCTATGCTGTCAAATTCGAAAGCCTCTTAGGCTGCAGTTCGCCTTAACCCAGCGGATGGCTGAATATGTTATGCGTAATGGGCAGCACATCGTGTAACCTCTGTTGCTGTTGAATGACTTTTTCTGGTCTCCTTGTTTGTTATCCAAGAGAGTCGTAACACCACTCGACCATGCGCTGAAAAGCGGAGAAACTGACAAGAAAATTGCTTCTTCAGTGTGCCTTGTTCAGGGAGTATCAAACGGTAGCTTCGAGTCAATTACTTTTATTTTCCTTAAAAAGCTACTAGACTAAGTATTAAACTAGCCGGATTAAAACTGAAGAAACGAGATTAATCATTTTATACCAACTTAAGCGTCCATTAGCTATGATCTAGTCATCCACTTAAACATGGAACCGCAATCTAGATCAATCATTATGATAATGTCTATATTAAGCTTATATGCTGAGTCTCCGACCCGCTGCTCTATAAGTTGTAGATACAAGAAGCACAGTTAGGAATTAGGAAATTATATAACACGCATAAAGAATACAAAAGTTTAACATATCTTTCAATGTCGTTTACTGTAACGATGTCATAAATATTAATGTTGCAAAATTTCAACTAACCGATGCTAATCCTGTTCACGTATAACACAGTAAAATGAACGGCAACTTTTAAGTGCTATAATGAAGATATGCATCGTAATCGAATGTTGTACTTGTATTGTCCTTCAAGTAAACATCGCTGAATACCATACTGGATTTTTCCCCATTATTAAATGAACGTCAGCAAAACGTGGGCAAACAATACAATAACTCCTCCTACTGAAGGGAGGTCCTTGAAGTGACGCAGCAGCCAGCCCTGGCTAGTTAGGATGGTAGTTGCCTGCCACTCGACAGTTATTTCTGCCATGATGCAAATGTCACAAAATGCTCCAATTCTCTGAATCCATTGGCCTGAATAAATGTACGAGAAATATCGGCAATCTTTCAGCAGGGTTGCCCCCCCCCGAATGAACTGCCGAACAAACCGCCAAAAATCGCTAAAGAAACAGGAGCGCTGACTCACGTTTGCGTTGTACTCAATACGAAAATAAGTTGAATGAAGAATGAATAATAATTCCAGACGTATATGTGATCTTCTTTGCAAACTTGGCAAAGAAAATGTCTTAACAAGTAATCGCTATATTAGATGTCTTGCTGCGAAGAGATTAAGTTGATCAGTGATAAAATATGGAAGGTTAAACACTATGCAATTAGCTGAAGCAGACAGAGGCATCAGCATGCGCTCTTCGGCTTTCGTACAACCGTGCTCTCTTCTTTCTTTTACCTCTGCGTTTTTCGCCTTCTCTCTTGGATCTCCCAAAGCCTATCATCGTGTAGTACGCCAAGCTGTTAAACTGACGGCACCAGATGGCTGCCTAGGTTTTGAAATACTGGTTAAAAAACAACTATAACGTATGGTGAGGGCTTGCCTATGTTTAGGCATCTGTATTCATTCATTCGAACTGCTAGCACATATTTCAAAACGCAGACCCAACGCCCTATAAATTCCTACATCACGGTACGAAAATAAAAATAGCGAGCACGTGCTACCGAACAGTGCTGAGGAGCAACTAGAATGTCCTGGCTGTTATGTGATCGTCATTTGAGGATAACAGTGCTTAAACATTACTGTAACTTAGATTTACATCTGACGTTTGAAACGTTACTTCAGACCGATATTAATTTACGTTCGATATCGAAATCAGGGTTACACCTTTTGCATATTATTACGGTGGACAGACAACGATCAGGTGAGCCTAAGCGATGTGCAACAATAAGGGGCGCTCGCATCCGAAAGCATGCCGTACACCTCGTTCACTGTGCATGATCAGATCAGAATACCATAGTCCCTCTATTTTTCGCAAGTCACCGACTAACTATCCGTTTTTCATATAGTTGCACAAAAGCAACTGGGGTTAATTAATTGCTCAGGTTTATTCACAGTTGAGACAAGGTTCGTCTTTTCAGCACATTCGAACGCGGCGCCTCGAGTTAAAAGCCGACTACATTGCAATGTGCTACCATGCCCCAAAGGCTGCTCCCGCAAACGTCATATTCCTTTTCGCAAGCAGGTCTGCCTCAAGGAGTTGTTTCCATTTTTAGCATATTCCTCCAACCCGTCTGCAGCCAGTGCACGGTTCCCAAGCGAGAAATATTTCGAACGTATTTTCACTCTCGTTGTAAGCCGTTTCATGAAATTAAGTCAAGCCCCGGTCTCTGAGTTCATCTGATAGCTTTTTAGGCCGTTGGTCGCCAGCACCAGCTCGTTCGTGGTCCGCTGGTGCCATCGCACTTTCCTGACACTGTGTTCAGTTCCGTTGTTGGAAGCTGTTTAAACAAATGTCAGGACGCTTCAGAGCGGCGCATTATTCGGGACAGTATATGAACACCGTTCCTACGATTCTTTCAGAATGATGATCTTCGTGTCTGTTCTTATCGTCGGATCATTCCATATGTCATACAACTTGCCATACATACATTATCACACATAATGCCAGTGTGATACTCCGATTCACTTCAGGCTCAATATCGCCATCGTTAGCGAACACATTTCCACGGTATCAAACATGGTTCACCTCGTCGTCGTCGTAATAACATGCCATATTATCCTCGGGCTAACTCCATATAGTCGTAGTAAGCGCCCTCGTAATTTTCGGCTTCCTGAAGGCCCACAGGATTGATAGCGAAGTTGGCATGATCTATGCTGAAGAACTGTGTAAACAGCTGCTTATTCGGTGTATTACTTAATTCGCAGTTGCACATTTTATGCTTTGTGGTAAAATATAGGCGTATGATTCGCAAATTCAAGCAAAAACGATGTCATTCATTGATGGAGTATTTTGTTTGTGATGTATTGATAAAAACAGCATGAAATCGATTTAATTACAAACAATGCAATTCGTCGGTCTATCGAATGCAACACTTTGAAGAAGGCCTTTGAGATACGGGCCGAAACTTCGGCATTTGGTCTATCATCCATTGCAGCTCTGTATTGCGTAATGCATAATTAAACGGAATTTGTGCTGTTTCTCAACGTCCAATGATTCAACCCGGTCTGCATGCAGCCAGGTCTGCCATACGGTAAAGAAGTTGAAAGCTTACCTGATGAGACGAAATTTCTTTTTGCCTATCGGATGTACGCTGCTGCCTTTGCAATCGGCGCCGTTCAGGCCGGTAACCCGCACCGCCTCGCAGCCCCTGTCCGCTTGCCTGACGGTGAACTCCACCTCTTCGCCTTGATCGAGGCTACGAAATCCGGGCATCTGCAGCGTCGACTTAAAATAGACGGCCGAAACCGGGCTGAAACGAACGAACGAACGGTCGAACACCGCCAAGTTGCTACCTGGTGCACGAAGACGTCCCTTCCACCGACATCCGCGTCCGGACTGATGAAGCCCCATCCCTTGAGAACGTTGAACCACTTGCATCTGCCTCGGTAGACTCTCTCGTTGCCGCTGTCGATGTCACTCTGACTGGTAGACGTTGCCGCGGCCGGCGCCACGCGGCGGTCAGCGGTGGCGCAGCTAATGCCCAGCTCGGCTACTTCTTCCACCGTTTCTTTTAAGATGA